ACTATTGCGTGTTGTTTCAGTTATTTTACTCTCAGTGCAAACAATGGGTTATTTTCCTTTAAAGTGAAATAACTTACCATAAACACAGGAGGCTGAGAAAAACACAAATTTTAGAGGAACATTTCTGATGGCACTTAGAGGTTTTTGGATCTGAACGCTTCAAATATTATATTTTAATTACTATACAGTAATTATAAAAATATAGAGTGCACACACACACAGCTTTCCATTCCTGTGAGAACAATACACAGTCTTCAATTGTTTTTTTATATCAGGTTAATGATACCGTCTGTGACCTAAACCTATCCCTACCCCTAAACCCAACCCTCACAGAAACAAGTGCAAATAATTAGGTACTAATGAAAACATGTTATGGCCAGTTTATTAGCCTTTTTAATTAGTGAGGCCAGTAAAATGTCCTAGTGGGGTCGTTTTCATATTTCACTATAATTGACTACTCACAAGTACAGCTAATCCAGCACACACATACACATACATTTCCACCAACCTCAGTGACATCTCTTCTCTGATTAAGCGTTTACTGGAGTGAGGGTGGAACAACCTGTCAATCACATGCGGCTAATCAATAGTTAACCACACTGATCCAATCAATGCAGTGCACCCCTTTTTCAGCAGAACAGATTCTGGAAGGATTTTTCATGATCATTTTTCCCACAGGGATTTTCCCACAGGGAAGTCTATGCTAAAGCGCTTCAAACCTTCAATCAAACCATGTAGCACGATTGACAAAACAAAATAAATATGAAAACATAAATATAAATGTTATTTACGCCTATAAAAATCTATACATTTCACATTTATTGCAAAATTTGCATATAATTCTGCATCGTTTAAAAAATAAGATGATTAATGCAAACATGTTATTTATTACAACCAGATGGGTTCAAAGTATATACAAATAACAAAGCTTGCTACAGATCTGTCTGTTTTACAGTTTTTACAGTTAGCTATTGTTAATAAATGATTTCCCCTATAAAGAAAATGGAAATTTTCTTTAATAAATGATTATCAATGCAAAAAATAATTTCCAGCTTCATGTATTTTTCCAGTTCAACAACCCTTTTAATTCATCCACATCACTATAGGGAATATGCAATTTCCAAATCATGCTGACTTTGAAGAGGTGGTCCAGACTGTATTTTTTAAGGCTTCTTTGTGTTTATAAGATGCAAAGCAATGTGGGCTCATGCTTCACTTGTAGAAAATCAGGTTATTTTTTCATATATCTTACTAAGATTATACTGCTATTCCACTAACATGAAAACAACTGTCATATTTTCCTAGTTCCTCCGAAAGAGGAATCAAAGAGGATCAAAGACCCGCCCTCAAGAGGCTCTGATTGGTCAGCTAACATAATCCGCTGTAATTCACTGATCGGCTTCACATCACCAATTCACGCCCCTCCAAGCACAAGCTTTCCGCTGTGTGAACAGTCCAGTAAGAGCAGCTGTTAGCAGCGTTAGCTACCTGAATTAGACAGAAACATTAAGAGAACACAGCATAACCTCACGCCTGCTCTCTAAAATAACATCTGACAAGTGTCTTTTACATATATTCAGAATAAGCATGTGTAAGTAATATGAAACGTTCACATATCTTTTGCAAATTCATTAGCTGAGATGTAGAATGCACGGAAAGCATCCACATAGAGAGACACTGCAGTGCTGCTGAAGATTGTGGTTGTTTACAGCAGTTTGACTGATAAATATGAATTTGTAGCTAAAGAGTTAGCGGTGCCAAACAGCATTTCCTGTTAAAAACTGTGCATGTACACGCTAACTGTACACGCTAGAAATTGTGCATGTAGTTGATCAATTTTAACAAGTTAAAATACTTTCAGGTTGTGACACATTCCACAGCTTTATTTGTTGGATGAGTCCAGCACTGAACTGGGAGAGGTTTTGGAAGCTATCCTTTGTTAAATGCTAGCTAATAGGGCTGCTTGATTATGGGAAAAATCATAATCACGATTACTTTGGTCATAATTGTAATCATTATTACAATCATTATTCAAAACAATTATCAGTTGAAGTCAAAATTATTCGCCCTTCTGTGATTTTTTTATTATATAAATATTTCACAAACGATGTTTAAAAGGAATTTTTACAGTATTTCCTATAATATGTTTTCTTCTGGAGAAAGGCTTATTCGTTTTATTTTGGCTAGAATAAAAGCAGGTTTAAATATTTTGAAACCTATTTTAATAGCTCAATATTATTAGCCCCTTTAAGCTATTTATAAATTTTTGATTGTCTGCTGAAGAAACTACTGCTATACATTGACTTGCCTTATTACACTAATTAATATTCATTAGAAGCCAAAATCTAAATCAAATCTGGATTTTCGATTAATTTCACAGCATTGCTAGCTATTTATTTTTTTCATAATTCTCTGGAACATAATTAAAATTAAACTGTAAGCTAGAGTTGGGCTGATAGACGATGCCATCGTCCATCACCGATGGCCGACAGAGATGACGATGCTGAGCCGACATCGCGATCCTCTGCCCCGCCCCCCATTGCAAATCCGCTCATGAAAAACACACAGTAAGGCCCTGCTTACACTAATAGGTCTTAGTTTTTAAATGGCATATTAGAACGAAAACGATCCACATCCACACTGGCGTTTAGTATTTCTAAGCAGCCCTCCTTTCACACTACCGCTGAAAATGCACATCACGTGACCATGTGCTTGAGACAGCGGGTCCAGGCAGTCAGCGGGTCAGTAGACTGCTTCAATCTTTCACGATCACTCTTGTACTTGGTAATTTTAGCGAACACCTCAGATACTGTTGGCTGGTTCCTGTTGGTTGTGCACCTTTTTTTACAGATGCCATTATAGTGACACAGGTCACTCTGCCTATTCACGCCTATTCACGCATCCCACGGAAAAAGTGATTGACAGGTGGTAATTATGTGTGTAACTTATCTTTATTCATTTACTCTACGATTTGTTTATGGGTAAAACAAAGTCCATGCGGGTCAGGTAGTTAAAACTACCTGAGCTACAAATAACTAAAAAGCTACAAATAATTAATTCGTTATGAATTAGTTAATTATTCATAATTAATTCACCGCCGCCTATGAAGACGATGCCATCGTCCATTGCGATGTTTCATATTAAACATCGTACGATGCTAAATTAGTCAGAATTGCCCAACCCTACAGTAAGCACTTCTCTCTGTGTTGTATCCTTTGGAAGCCCAAATAGAGAAACAGAACAAGCTCTGTGGAAATAGCAGCGTTTGGATGGCATTTTAGCTTTCTCTGCTATAACATTACAGCGCCTCTGGCCATGCCCCTTCGCAGGGTGTGCGCTTGGTGAATGCGCGTAAATGGAAGCCCTTGTGATCTCACTAGTCTGGATGTGTTTTTGTAGTCCCCAAATTCTAAGCTAACTCTGTAAAAGCGAATGTCTTCCTTTGCATTGAACTTTGAGCGTCTTACATTTAGAGATGTTGTTTGTGTTCACACAGCAACATTACACATCAACTAAAGTTTAAAACATGATATTGTAGTGGACCACCCCTTTAAAGAAACACTTCTGTCTTCATTTATACTCAGCCCTTCTCATCTCAAACCACTGCATGTTTGCAGGTTTGTTATCTATTCAACAAAAATCTATGAAAATCAATGTGTTAAAACTCCACACCACCAAAAAAATAAAAGTACCATGAATTTTTTACTCCTACTCTGCTTTAAATCATTATGTGAAAACCTAGCCTTGCTCTTGCTCCAAACCAAATGGAAGAGAAGAAACTGCGCAAACGGCATTAATAATAAACAAGACGTATGTTTCCAACACTGTTCTAACAAAGCTTCACTCTGCTGGGCACAACCAGCCCTGCTCTCCAGCAGAGACCCTCAGGTTTCACCATGCCCGAGCATGACCTTGTAGAAGAATTCCCTTTCTCCTTCAGCTCCAATATAGGGAAATCCACAGACAGCCAGGAGAGCTAGCGCAAATCAGTGCAGGGTTTCAACAGGTCTAAAGGAGAAGTGAATAGATTTGACAACGTGGTCGATAGAAAAAGAGCAAGGAACAGAGGGAGAGAACAGAAAGAGCAGGTAAAGTCATCTTGCACTCATCTGCACACCTGTAATTAGAGCTAGCGCTAAAGCCTGCGGTGGAAAAATGGAGAAGCGCAGCACCGCAGAGGGTGCCACTGACCTGCCGTGACCGGTAATTGCAGTCGCCTTAAAGAACATACAGTGTCTTTAGTGCGTAAGAGGGGAGCTGGAATTAAAAATCACATTTCCAGGGTAATTTAGACTCATACGGTGAAGAAAACTGCTATCTGCTGGTCATCAGCTACAAACCACACGCTTCCAAGTGAACTTCAACATGATGAAATGGCAAACATGTTCACACTTCAATAAGAAATGCCTCATCAAATTTAGCAGAAACAAGAGGCAAACGGGAGACAAGAACATCTGCTGTGAATGCTACAAATCTGAGCAGTTATACAGGCAAAATGACCTTAAGACTTGTTAAAATGATTCATTAAACATGCTTGAAATTTGGTGCGAATGAGCCAGACGATATGAAACTGAAGTCTGATTCAGAATATAAATGGTGTGATTTAGGGTTTTATTAGAAATCTGTTTGAACAGAGAAGTGAAGATATTGAAATTTATCAAACTGTCATTCCAATTTGACTGTCAATGGGTTTTGAATGATATCATCATAAACTGCAAATGATTTCAAGCATCATTTTGGTTCACAAGATCCTTGCAGGGGTGGAAACCTTGAAGATCCTCAAAAAAAAATAAAAAATTCCAAAATGGACCTTACAAACTTATTTAAGACTCAACACTGTCAACATGTCCTCCAGTTGCACTATTTTATCAAATATAAATACCATTCAAGATTCTTATATAAACCTGAAGGCTTTACCGTTTCTGAAAGATATTCACAAACAACAAAAGAGGCACTTCCAGAGTAACTGTTAAAATATAATGTAAATAGTAAAATCCTACCTTGACATTGAAATCCTTGTTTCCCAAAACCCCTGAAAGATAAAAACAATGAATACATTTAAAATAAATTGCATAACTAATTCATAGAATTTTATCATTTTATGGTTACCTCTTAGTAAAAATTTCTTATTGCACTATGCAATTATGTTATTTTTTATTCATATTTCTACATTTTTATTTGACTCTACAATTTACATCCTTTGTTTAGTTAAATCATTGTTTCTCAAAATTAAGGGAGCTCTTACTAAAACCACATTTTGGGTATAGGCGAGTCAGCTGAGCCCTAAAAAAAGAAGATGCCCATTAAAGAAACTGCCTCTGTAGACAGAAGGTACATACATTGCTCAGCATATACAAGTACACCCCTTACAAATCTATCTTTTAAATTCATATTTTTTATAGGAAGCTATACAATACTATATTTGTGCATAAACATTAGATTAGTCATAACTGAAGACAAAACTAGATCTATTATCTAACAAAAAAAAGAAAAAAAAACAAAAAATGAAAATATTTGCTTAAAATTTTGTACTTTGCAATTTCTTTTTTCAACATTTCGCTTAAATTTAATTGTATTACATTTCTATTTTTAAAGATGTTTGGTGGCTAAAATATTATTTTAATAAATATCTATTTAAGAAATCAATTTTGTTCAAACGCACCAAAATTGCCTATATTCACTGAGAAATGGAAAAAAATATTCATTTTCAAAATGGGTGTACTCAATTATGCTGCACATTGTAGGTCTAAAGGCAAAGTGGACAGTTTTACACCTGAGCTGTAACAGGTCCACATCCATGGAAAGCCACTTTGACATTTAAGGCCTCAATACACTTTTAAATAAAATCTAAAAAATCTTTTTTAATATGTTGTCACACATTAAAAAGAAAAAGAAAGAAAAGAAAATCAGGTCAAAGCTAAGTTTGTTACAAGCTCATTTCATGAAACAGCTTGTCAAAAGTGAGCTTTCCAGAAACATTTACTTAAGCAAGTAAACACCTTCAAATTACCAATAATCTCTGATAATTATGTAATAGGTAGGTGAGGCTCTGAGGCTCTGTTTTCTTAGACTTGAATATCAACATTTCATTTTATTCAATTCAGTAAATATTAAAATCTAATCTAATCCAATCAATACTGACCGTTTTTTATGCAAGGTTTCTAAAACTCGGCCCAGGAGGTCCAGTGTGCTGCAGTTTTTAGCTCCAACTTGCCTCAACACACCTGCAAGGATGTTTCTAGAATGCCTAGTAAGAGCTTGATTAGCTAGGCAAAGTGTGTCTGATTGGGGTTGGAGCTAAAATCTGCAGGACACCGGACCTCCAGGACCGAGATTGAGAATCCCTGCAAAGCAACATTATTGTAAGTGCTATTGCAAGCGTGACATGACTGTTTAAAGGGATATTTCACTGAAAAACTATGCACTATTTGCTCACCCTCAAGAGGGTTCCAGACCTTTATCTTTATTCTGTTAAACGCACAATAAAATGTTCTGAAGAATGTTCGAAATTGGTAGCCATTGACATCCATTGTAAATCAATGACTACAGGTTTTAAACATTTTTATAAATATTTTCAAATATACTTTGTGTTCAAAAGAAAGAGGCTCAAACTAATTTGAAACAAATGGAGGACAAGTAAATTAATGATGACTGAATTTATGTTTTAGGGTGAACTATCGATTTATGTGTCAAATTTATCCAAATGTAAACATTGCTAAGTATAGACGCTTTCTTAGCTGTTGTTTTCTTTTGCAGCAGTAATTTTAGTTGCGTGTTCATCTTTTTTGCAAAAAAAATCCACAATATTCATCTAAATTCCACAGTCGGCTGTGCGAATTTCATTTAGATCTTCATATAAAATCTTAAATTAATTTTAATTTAGAAAAGTAACAAGGTAAGTCTATCAGGGCCTTCAATTAAAAATAAATGAATTACAATTTATTAATGGTGGATTTAACATACTTTTTAGAAGAGATTCAAGTACTCTTCATCACTATATAAAAAAGTTAACCATCAAAAAAGTTAAATAAAAAGACTAATAAGTGCATAACCTACTAAGAATATAGCAATAGGCCTATGCACAATGCATATTGTCATGAAAACGTTTAAATAATAGTCCCTAATACATTCATTAGCAGCACAAATCAAAACTAATATCACAAAAAAACGAATTAGCCTTCCTATCTCACTGTTTTAACAGCTTGCCATACACCTTGCAAAGCCCGCAAACTCCTTACCAGATAAAGTCCGTGCAGTGGCTGCAGAAAGTAGGCTGCTTGAAGAAGCGAGCGATAAACTTGTGGTTCTTGACTTCGTGAACGTTCTTCTGTCTCAGGGCGCCTTGCCGGGCAAAACCCCTCATGGGTGCGCTCCTCTCCTCTCCATCGCTGTTCGCCGGCTCTGCCATTCTAAAAGCGGGGAAAGTTTGCACGAGCCTGGACACTGGAGTGAGTTGCGCACATGTAACGCAAAAGCTTCAGACTGCGATCAACTCTCAGGCGCGATGCTTCGCTTCCTTCTCCGCCCAAGTGCCTTCACCGGTACACTCTCTCTCTCTCTTTTCACACACACACACACACATACCCAGACACACACTGACGCGCTGTTACAAGACTCCTCCCACCCTCCCACTCATTTACCTTTGGCGAGCAGAGCTGATTGATAGAGATTCTGTCAAACCTCTTACGCATTTACATTAAAATCCGCTCGACAGCATTACGAGAAGGAGACAGTGTGGAAACATTTACGAGCTGATGAATTATGAGGCTCGTGAACATTTATAATTGAAGGGAATCTGCCAATCATGCTGCCTTGTTGATACTGAATATGGAGTAGGTCGGATGAACGCCTATTTGGGTTCAAACTTAAAGGTGCAGTCGGTATTTATTTTTTGTAATTAAACTGTTCTACTCTTAAACAAAGCGTTTAGGTTTTAGAGATAACGTTATAAACATTTACTGCCATGAGAGATAAAGATAAGTGCTGGGGGAAAAAGGGTGATTTTATTCTGCATGGAGCGGGTCGCCCCCTCATGGGCATTTTACATGTTGACATCACATGACCGGTTGTACAAAACGCACCAAAACGGTACTTTAATTTGCATAGCTTGTAAGAAAAAATAAAAGGACATGAGTGAATATGAAAAATAATTCAGGTAACTAAAAGTCCTCGATCATTGATTAAACTGGCATGAGTACAAGCCAGTTACACATAAAACAGTGCACCCTAATAATCTAATTCATTTCAGAACTGCACATTCATTTGTGAGGACTAATATTAGTAAATCATGTTAAATCATTACCTTGCACAATAATATGATCTCATCTCTCAACTCTATTTTAACTGTTTTTCCGGGGCCGTGTTGCAGAGGCAGCAGTCTTAGGAGAGAACCCCATATTTCCTCCAGCTCCTCCGGGGAGATCTCGAGACATTCCCAGGCCAGCCAAGAGACAAAGTCCCTCCAGCGTGTCCTGGATCTTTCTCGAGGCCTCTTCACAGTGGGACTTGCCTGGAACACCTCTCTAGGTAGGCACCCAGTAGGCATCCGAAACAGATGCCCAAGCCACCTCAGCTGACTTCTCTCGATGTGAAGGAGCAGCGGCTCTACTCTGAGCTCCTCCCGGGTGACAGAGCTCCTCACCCAATCTATAAGGGTGCGCCCTTACATCCTGCATTGGAAACTCGTTTTGGCTGCTTGTGTCCGAGATCTTGTTCTTTCGGTCATGACCCAAAGCTCATGACCATAGGTGAGAGTAGAACGTAGATTGACCGGTAAATCGAGAGCTTTGCCTTTCGGCTCAGCTCCTTCTTTACCACAATAGACTGATATACTGACCCCATAACTGCTGTCGCTGCACCAATACACCTTTCAATCTCACATTCCATCCTTCCTTCACTTGTGAACAAAACCCCAAGATATTTGAACTCCTCCACCTGGGGTAAGGACTTTCCTCCAACCTGGAGAGTGCAAACCATCTTTTTCCGGAAGAGCATGATATGATCGTAAATTATCACTTATAATAACATATTTTTTCAAGCATATAACCTGGATTGGGCAAAAATACATTGAAATGTATTTTAAAATAAAATTCCAAATACCTTAATTTTAGGTGTATCAAAATAAACTATAAAATTCAAAATAAAATGCAGTATTTTTTTAAAAGTATTACAAATTACCTTTACAAAGGAGCATGACATTTCTTCGCAAATCGTCCATTAATTAGACCTATTCTATCAATCCCTTCGCTGTTAAACTGACTTAGTGTAGTAAACAATGTTTGATAGCAAATGTGGCCAGTAAAATTGCCATCATCTCTGCATAATGATTATTCAACCTCTTAATAATTAAAAAAATTGTTAAATAAAGAGTTAATTAATTTTTTTGTTCACAGAATCTTTCAGAAATCTTTTTTTTTTTTTTTGCTACTGAACTCTTAAATACTTTATGTAAAAACTGTATCAGGGGTTTTAAGTTATTAAATATTTGTGTTTCATATGTTGTGACATCTTAAAGCTTGCATATTTCCTTTTCATTAACTTTACAGTGGACCTGCTGATCAATTAATGGCATTTAAAACAGCAATGAAGTATTGTAGCATTCGCCACCGTAGGACTTATTTTATATATGTTTGTTTTAACGACAAAAATTTGGCATTAGCAATCTATCTTAAACTACTATTATTTGTACAGTATACTCTTTATCTTAAGATTGTAATGGAAGAGTCAATAACATCCACAGCACCAATCAGTGATGCCTTGATGTAGATTTCTTATGAAGTATTTTACAGTATTTTAAAAAAAACAAGATACTTTTTGATACAAAATAGTTTGCCATTTTTATCAGCCCTGTCAAATACAAATTACAAAATACTATTTTGTATTTAAAATACATATTTTAAATACATGGTTCATAAATGCCCATCCCTGAATATAACCCCCATAACATATAAACAGATTTAATTTTCAAAGACTGATTCTAATATAAATTTGGTCACTCTGTTACTAAATAAGTTGCAACCAAAGTTATTATACCCCCTTTGAAATTCTATTTGTTTTTTAAATATTTCCCAAATGATGTTTAACAGAGTAAGGAATTTTCACAGTATGTCTGATAATGTTTTGTCTTCTGAAGAAAGTCTTATTTGTTTTATTTCGGCTAGAATAAAAGCAGTTTTTACATTAACAAAAATTTTTATTAGCCCCTTTAAGCGATCATTTTTTTTTTGATAGTTTACAGAACAAACCATCATTATACAATAACTTGCCTAAATACACTAATCTGCCTAGTTTACATAATTAACCAAGTTAAGCCTTTAAATGTCACTTTAAGCTGTATAGAAATGTCTTGAAAAATATCTAGTCAATTATTATTTACTGTCATCATGGCAAAGATAAAATAAATCAGTTATTAGAGATGAGTTATTAAAGCAATTTTGTTTAGAAATGTGCTAAGAAAATCTTCTCTTCGTTAAACAGAAATTTAGGGAAAAAATAAACAGGGGGCTAATAATTCAGATTGCAACTGCATGTGCTCAAATTTGCATAAACATTTATTGTACATGCACTGACAAATCTTGCAAAACATTTTGTAGACAAACCACTTAATGATAGTACTCACAATTGTTGCTTAGTATTTTCTGAAAAAAACCGAACACTCAGGACCATGGGTTCATCTAAAAATATTGAATAATATTTAAGGGTGAACTTTCCCTTTAAGGGATTTTGAGGCAACAGAAGGCAGGTTCTGTGATCTCCCCAAAGTCTGAACCTGAGTGCCAAGTTATTTCCGTGGCTGCTCACATAAATTGACGTCTGAGCTTTGTTACATAAATTTTTGTGTTATGTCCCAGATGACTCTTTTCAGCAGAGTTGTTTCATTCCTGTTCTGTGACGCACTGACAAGTAGGAGGCAAGGACAACCAGCGGCTGAGAGTACAATGGCACCATGCACTTACCGAGAGACACTGAGTGAACCTCAGCAGGGAGCTTGAACTTCTTGCACTGATGTTGTCATATGCCGGTTGGTCATTTTGTGTGAGTCATTCTTGATGCTGAACTGCACTCCAGGGCTGCCGCAATCAATTAATCGATTGGTAATCAACTGTTTTAATGAAACTAAATTTACAATGTTTAAGTTTGCTAGAGCACTTTGCCAAACGGGGGCGACATGGTGGCACAGTGGGTAGCACTGTTGTCTCACAGCAAGAAGATTGCTGGTTGGAGCCTCACCTCAATCAGTTGGCATTTCAGTTTGGAGTTTGCATGTTCTCCCCGTGTTTGCGTGGGTTTCCTCCAGGTGCTTTGTTTTCCCCTACAAGTCCAAAGACATGTGGTATAGGTGAATTGGGTAAGCTAAATTGTCCATAGTGTATGTGTGTCAATGAGAGTGTATGGGTGTTTCCCAGTGATTGATTGCAGCTGGATGGGCATCTGCTGCATAAAAACATATACTGGATAAGTTGGTGGTTCCTTCCACTGTGTCGACCCCTGATAAATAAAGGGGCTAAGCCCAAAAAAAAAAAAAAAAACGAACTTCGCTAATCTTAAAGGGGTAGTTCACCCAAAAATTAAAATTATGATATCAACTAACATATCATATTTTAAAAATCTTGAGACTTTCATTTATTTTCAGAATACAAATTAAGATATTTTGATGGAATATGAGAGCTCCCTCATCCTCCATAGTAAGATTCCCGGCTCATTCAAAGTACAGAAAGTTTCCAAAAATCATCCTCAAAACAGACCATATGATTTTAGTGGTTCAATCTAATAATTATCAAGCTACTGTATAAGAATACCTTTCTGTGCACATAGGACAAAACTATTCAACAGTTTCTTTTCCTCATTGTCAGTATATTGTGCATTCACAAGCATTGCACAGTGAGGTATACTGTGGATTACAGATGAGTGCAACTTTCTCTGTTTGAAACCCAGCACTGGCACATCTGAGGTATTAAGTCATGTAAATGCACCCTATACTGACACTAAGGAGCAGAACCCGTTAAAAAAAGTTATTATTTTTTTGTTATTTGTGAGGGAAAATTATTTCTCAGACAATCTCTGATTAAGTCAGTTTGGCAGCTTGGGTGAAATATGCTTAGCCTGAGGGTGCTTTTACACCTAGACTTTTGTTTCAGAACCTGGCGCATTTCCCCAGTTAGCGCGGTTCGTTTGGCACCGATCCGAACCAGACTATATCACAGTGTATTATGGATACATAATAGGCAAATATGGCTAAAAGTAGAGAGAATTATGAGTAGGGCGGGAAGTCATTCCTACCTGTAAACATACATTTCATATCAAATACGAAAGTAAAGGCATGTTGAACTATTATCGAAAGCTGTTTATCCGTTAGGAAAATTGACCAAACTACAGTATTGTTTTTTCTGTTATTTCTCTCTATAATGTAAAGCCTGCATAAGCCAACTGTTATGTATGAGAAAGTCTTACCTCTAATTTATATTTGATGACGATATTTGTGGGTATCACCTTTCAAAATGAAAGTGCAGCTTTTCACTTATAATGTTTTATTGCTTATCATCATAAATTAAA